CGGGGCAATGTTGCTCCTTTTGATTTCTCCCCCTCTGTACTTAGTGTGTTAAACTATGTAAAGATGTATTATTTATTGTATTATTACAAGTGGAAATAAATTACTTTTTCTTCTTTTTTTACATGGTCAGGACTACATGACAGGGCCGTGTGACCATCTCTCAAATGGCAATTTAATGCGCTATTTGTTAGTGAATGAATCTTGGCCAGTGGAATTGGCCTTCCCATTGAAATTGTAGCACACTCACCCATGGTAGGGGTCAACCTTTTTTGGTGTTCAGCCTGAGGTAGGATTTGAACTTGGGTCTACCGCTCATGAGTCTGATGCAACAACCACTATGCTACCAGTGACCTTAGGTGGACATTTTTCAGATTTGATCGTTTTGTGACAACAAGCATCTTCAATATTTTTGAAGTGTTTTGTAAAAAGTGATATTTTCAACTTCTTAAAAACTGTGAGAAAACAGCAGAGCAATATACGCCAAGATCATCAGGTGTACTTGCTCATTTTTTAATTGTTTTCACAGTATCAAATAGTATCAAATATTTTCCTTGCTACATGAATATCACAGAAAATTCTATGTTGCTAAGACGCACAATACTGTACAATGCATTTTTATGGGCTCTGTGTGAGCTGCTGTGGAATGCCGGTCAAGGAGTCGATGAAAACAGCTATTAAAATTCAAAGAAACAGTACAAAGTCAACTTTCGAGTAATCGTGAACAAACAGATTTATATATGCTGCACATGTAGAGATAATCTTGTTATACTGTTCAGGAAAGTCTCTAGCTCACAGTACGGTTATCTAAGAGTTTATGATGTTTTCACTGGCGATGTAAATGTCCGGATGTCTGCCTCCAAGAATACATGCATTGAAATGACTAATAAGTAATATGTCACCGTCACTGCTGGAAATCTGTATTTACTATTAGTATTCATATTAATAAGTTGTTCATATTGATAACTTGTACATCTATGTGCTGCAGACCCAAACAAAAATATGTATTACATGTATTATGACTTTTCATATTAACTTTCACAAAAAATAGCACCTTCTTGTACCTCTGCAAAAAGTAATTACTATTTTAACAGTCTGTAGCATGCGAGTGCGAGAATCTGTGTCAGTCTCAACACAACACATTGGGCAAATATTGTCAGAAAAATTATTATTATAAATTAGCGACTGGCAATTTGGTAACTGGCAAGTTGGTGACACAATGCAGGATTGCAGGAAGTAAGAAATATTATACTGCTCAGACAGGAAACTTGCTTCACAGTACAAATCCAGCCATCATCCCCACAGCAGAAATAGTGATTGCCTACACATTAGCTGTGATAATATGGGTCATATAAGGGATACATAAAATAAATAATTATAATTTATCTAAAAATCTGTTTCCTCTAGCAGGCAAGTGACTATTTATGTGAATACAGTACACAGGCCAGGGATGTCTATTTCGCTTTGTACTTGTAACAGAACCAACGTGCGTTGTCGTGTATTTCAATATATGTACCTTTTCAGGTTTAACATAGGTGGAAAATATAAGATGGACTCGTTCCGTGGTATGGGCGTGGTATATTTTATTTAAATGTTGAAGACGTGGAAACATTGTGTTTACAGAAAAGCACTACCACCAGCAGAACACATTCTGGTACACACACCAACTTCCGATTCTGTACTGACAATAATTAACTCACAAAAAACGTAACAATAAATAAATAGACGTATCGTCGTCTTATGATCGCAAATACAATGCACTTACCATTTTCAAGGCTGGTAAACTGTGTATTCCTGTAGAAATCGGGTTGTTGTTATATCCGGCCGTCGGAATCACACACACATAAAAATTACTAAACCATAGGCGCTGTTTCTCGTCTTCGAGAGTGTTGCTACAGCGACTTACTTGTAGACATGTACCTAAGCAATATTTTTGCATAAATTAACAGGTAATTAAATACTAACGGGAACTCTAAGTGATCTCCAATACCAATCGACACTCAGCACCATACATTCACATTAGTTTCGAACTTCGAGGAAATCCTTTAAGGTGAAAGTTCAACGCGCATGTGATTTCGATACCAAGAAATCTTCGGAAACTGTCGGCATACATTTCATATGACGACTATTGTCGAATGCCCAATATGGCAACAGGTGGGCGGTCGGAATCGACAGATGATTCAACCCAGTAAAGTAAACACGGGTACTGAATATAAATGTCAGCATATGACTCACATGTTGTCGTGATATCTTCGGATTATATCATTCCTATATTTATAATACCAGTGTATAAGAATGGTGTAAGGTCTGAAACAAATAATATCTAAAACAAACTTTTTATATAATGTAATTTTAGTCTGTTTAATATAATTTTCAATATTTTCTAGGCCAAACTAATTGCAATCATCACAATAATTATCACATAAAAAACTGACGAAGAAATACACATTATCATCACATTATGCTAGAATGATGAGTATATTTGGTCGTGAGAATATATAGGATAATCACAGGAAAACATTTGTATGTACAAATTGACTGCCTTTGAGGTAAAATTGAACAAGGTCAGGTAGCTGGGTTAACCAATAAATAGAACTGAAAGTGCGTTGGTATTGTGTAAACACACATTTAAATAGATGTGTACGGGTCAGTCTGATGTGTACGGGTCAGTCTGCGAGTGTGTATTCCCGTGGCAATGTACTGAAGTCGTGGAGACAGCCAATCAGTGATGACTCTGAATTCCGCGCCGACCACTAGTTATCTTTGCATATAACAATTCACTATACCATTTTTAGTGTACTCATAATGGCTGGATTTGAGGCTAACCCACCGTGACATATTCCTGAAGCATAGGCTGTCTTTGAGATGAGAGGTGTTTCAGTGTTATTATTTGCGCCTTAGATACACGTCACAATGTTGATATGTTTATGTTCAAAAATAATGATTAAAAGAAGTAATGTACCTATAATTATATATATTATTGTTGTTGCATAAGTAATTCCACACCAACCCATACCCCATAGTAAAACAATGAAAAAATAATATGTCAAATATACAAAATACGCTTCAAATCAATTCATATAATAAATTAATGGCCATAAAACTGTACATACATATACATAATATAAAACTGTAGACGCCTTGTCATGGGAAATTCTTTTCATAAACTCTGGTTGGTGGATTTATAACACAATTCAGTGTAAATTGTTTTTCAATTTAACATGCTGGGGTAGTGATTTAGAAATAGTGGGGGGGGGGGGAGTCGAAAGTTGTATTGAATGTTGTAAATGTCGACCGGAAATTCGTAAAAGCTGGGAGGAAGTTCATAAAAGTTGACTGGAAAGCGTAGCGTCACGGACACTGCCGAAGCGTAGGTTATACAAGGATGTTGTTAGGAAAACTATCGTGGCACGCGTGCACCAACTCATGCACATTTTGAGCGTTTAATTACACACCGGTTCCTGAGAAACATTTAGTTGTGCAGTCACCTTAACAAATATCTACAGACAGTATTATTGCATGTAGCAACAAATAAGCTTTCATATGGTATACAACGTGACAAAATTAACGTATTTGTTAGTAGTGTATTTTTTTTTAAATTCCTATAAATCCTGGTGCAGCGCCACCTTAAAAGTGAAGCTGCGTTAAGGGCGTGTGAAATCAATTTGAGCAAATATTTAAATTTGTTAAAACACATTGAAATGACATGAGTCAATTTAGGATATGTTCGTAACTGTGATGTGGATAGTGTTTTGTTTCAAATCGTGAATCTTTTGCACAAAATCTCGGTACAAAATTGGCTTCTGTACTTAACAAAAGTTGTATGTAGTTTGTTAAAAACAGAGTTGTGAAACGTGATTAGGAAATTAGTTAGATGGCTGTGAAATTTTACCGATGTTGTTGCCATATGAGCTGACTGAAACCCGATAAAAACAGAACTGCTTACAAAGTTGAAAACAGCTATTTGAAAACTTCAAATGAAATTCAGCCGCCTGTTATGGCAGAACTGAGAGGTGATCGATCGCTCTTACAAGTTTAACTGCATCGAGCTTGTTTCATACTTGCATTGAAAAACCAAACCAAACAAACCAGCTTGTGAATCTAAAATGACACATGTTAATTTAAGACAAGTTGTTACTGTAATGACGATAATGTCGAAAGTCATGAAATTGGACTAAATGATTTGTACAAAATTTCAGTAAAAAAATTAGCTCACTTGTTACGTGAAAAGATGCCTTGAACGTGTATAGCGAAGTTGCGTACAAAGTGCGTAATACTGCACGCAAATGTGGAAATGTCAAGCGCAAACTGAAATCGATAAAGTTGATTGGCAAATAGTACCGGTAAAAATGACTGGAAAGTCTTGATTGTTAGTCATATTTACTTTGCTACCACACCATGGTAAACGACGACCAAACATATTCTAGAGTGTATCGGTCTAACGGCCCCTTCTACTGCTTGGCTAAATGCGTCCATGCAAGTAAATATTTTTTGTATCACTGCTGTGTCAAAAGAGTCAAAAGCAGCGGCGTTTACACTCATAAAATCTGGAACACACAAATGTAGCATGTTATGCGCTGACCGCATTTGGTCACGGATTCCCCTTTTATGCTCCATGATATTTCACAATTCTTTTGAATATATTTCCCGGCATTTAATTACTGATTTAACCAGTAATTGATTTGAAATAAACATTGATGATTTGATTGTATTACGTGATAGTCCATATATATTTTACATTATGATTTAAACAGCTAGTACAGTGCCTCAGTCACTGCAGTATGTGAATTTCAATACTGGGATCATAATAATGAGTTGGCACAACAATACGTTCCTTCCATGTATGGGGGGGGAGGGGGTACTTGAGATCAAAAGTGCTAAAGGGACAGCGCTTCCTGTGACGACACAACGGGACTGGCTTCGTTTGAATATTCGGGTTACTGGACGCCCTCTACGTTTGAGAGTGAGAACTCGGATGCGTGATTGCAAGGTCAGAGGTCAATGCGGGAAACATAAAATGGCTGATGTGATGTGATAGCGCCGTTATAGTTATCGCTTATCTATCAAAATAATACATTATTTAATATAACAACGCTGCATATCTTGGCACACTAAATATTAAGATGGGTAAGAAGAAGCTGAAAACTGGGAAAAAGGGAAAGAAACGTGGTAAGTTATTTAAGATGTGTTTTCTTGCTGTGAGCGTAACTGAATCGCGATGACATGTTTCGTCTCGTCGCCAACAAGGCCTGTACATGTAAATCAGTGACAATATATCTGTTTTACGCAGTGTTGATAAAAGATGCACATGAAGACCGAAATGTGCGTATCGATTCTCATTGCAATATTCTTTAAGAACATTGCTAGCGATGTTTGTTATATTAAACTAAACTTGTTATGAACCGATGATGGAGTGTAAACAACATTGATTTGCATACTGATCAAACACTCTGTTACATGTTGGGCCATATTTGGGGACTGTGCTTGGGTGTATCTATACGCATGTTCCGTGTGTTATTTACGTATTGCCTTTCAACATTTAATACGTACTTTTCAAGCATCATGAGGTGCATTCCAAACTCTCAGCCACTTTGACGTATAATCAACATGTTCTAACGTATTTACACATGCTTTAATTTTTTTTTAAAAATATAGAAAGAAAGTAAGGTGTTCATTCAAACGTTGCAAGCTGTTTCATCAACCCAAAGCTTTTTCCAAGTTTCAAGACCTGTTGTAAAAATTCACCTACAGAAACCGGTGTAAGCCAACTATCCTGGAAGATATGGCTAGGAATTGTGTTTACATCGTGGCCATACCAATAACCATGCTTCAAGGCATTTTGTATGACTGTATATGTGCACACTGGCTGTGCACATAACAAAATAGATGATTGATCAATTATTTACATCAGTGTTTTTTAATGATAAACATTATCATACATCTACCTAACCTAGCATAGTTTGTACAGATCAAAACCTTCTTCGCTGTTATTTTGGGCTATGATCTCATAACATTTTTGCTACATTCAGGAAGATGATGTATAATAATGAGGTTATCATGTGAATACTGCAAAGTATGCACTCAGGCAATACATGGTCTCAATACCAATTTGTTTCTAAAAAATATTTTTTTTTTATGAATTTTATTGCAATTTACAGCTCCTTGTTTTAGTGAAACCCCTGTTCCAAATGAATGAATAAATAAATAAATTAATAGCCAATATTAAAATAAATTAATAGCCAATATTAAAATAAATTAATAGCCAATATTAAAATAAATTAATAGCCAATATTAAAATAAATTAATAGCCAATATTAAAATAAATAATCATATTAGTCTAAACTGGTGGGTGACATTAACATTTTCAAATTGTAGTCTAAACTTTGCTGTAAACTTAATGGGTTTTAATTTGGAATCTGCTAATTCGAACAAACGTGTGAAAGTGTAATTCACTATTTTGTGAATTTCATATCCTGTGAATATGCTCAAAATATCAACGCAGTGAACATTAATAATCAATATTTGACATTGCTTCCTGTCTTTTGACCACATATATTCTGTCAGCTACAGCCGATTATGTTTACTTGTACATGTACTTTGCAGAGTTACATTATTACTTCTGAGATTTCTAGATACAAACATTATTTCCTGTCATATCTTTAGTTATAAGAGAAGATGTGGAAGCCAGTACAGGTATACCTCCCATGGTTGATGGACAAATAAGGTGTTTTCTAAGGGTATCTGTCAGTAAAATATTATGGATGACTACAAAGCCAATTGATATAACTCATGTCAAGTTAAAATGGTGGGGAGAACAATCAGAAGGCACAATATTTAGGTAAGTATATGAATATGAAATGTATTGTAGAGACCAATGAGGACGTTGAAATATTAAAGTAAATTTTGTTTTTCCTGTGAATTTGACATAATATCTAGTGTACAATCTTGAAAAAAATGCATAAGGGTGGATATTTTAACCAGGGCATGGGTTGTATTTAGGGATAAAATTGTCATGTTAAAATATCTGTTCTTCCCAAGAAACTTTGTGGTAAAAGTTCAAAAATACAAATTTTTAATTTAGGCTTCTCGATAACAGAAAACCTATGTGACTTCTGACATGTTTTTTTTTTTTTTTCAATTTCTGACATTCATCATTCTGTATGCTTGCTCCTTTTTGCATCCAACAAATCAATAAGTTTTTATGTTCACATGATTGTTTCTTGATACTGAAAAAGGTAGTTGGTAGATCACATTCAAACAGGAATCTAGCACATTACCTGCTGAATTCCTCTACATACATGTATAGTCAAAATGATTTTAAGCCGAGTAGCCCCTCTTGGTAGTAGAGTGGCTGTTTCTTATACAGTACCGGTAAATTCTTTTCACATTGCCTGCTGGCTCCTTTTTTCCCAGTGACTTTGCTTTGTTTGTATAGGCTTTCAGCAGGCAATGTATCAAAGCTGTCTTTCACCTATTAAATTCATATATTTTAAATTTATGTTTTGTTTTATAGGCCAAATGATGTAAAGAATCCCCACAAATCATTGAGTAGAACAACAGCAAGATACGGCATTAGAGCGGGACCCAAACAGTTTTCTGCTTATGTTCATGATATCCTTTTGATATATTTAATGTCACATGTATTTTAAACCTTATTTATTTCATGACTCAATCAGACTGAGTTCTCAGTGCATGTAGGCAACACTTTTTATGCTTCTGATCAGAAGCACACTGTAAACTGCCTAATTTCGCTGTTTTTGTCCGTTGATTTTGTGGATTTCACAACAGACTGTGAATTTTTCACTGCTACACAATTTAATGATTTTCAGAGACTCCAATGAAGTTTCACAAAATAAATACATTTTACAGTAAACTAACCTGTCTCACAATGGTCTCACAATGGTCTCACAATGGTCTCACAATGGTCTCACAATGGTCTCAATCCCTTTCTGTGAATTTACAAATCTAACAGCTATTGATTTATCATCCCTAATATTTATAACATATGGGACCATTGGTGTTTGAAATACTGTCTGGAAGTACTATGAATCCTGTTGGATATGCAAGAATTTATGACATAGGAGCCC